TTTTAGCTCTCAGCTGTGCAAATGTCTTTGTTTCTGCTCCTGTTTTTTAGATGCAGGATTATGTATGTTGCATGACTCATTGCTGTTCTCCTGTGTCTGCAACTTGCTCCTGCTAGATGCATTATGCTGCACTTGTTCTGTTTCATAATAAACTGTTGTTTACAAAATAGCTTTGTTTGTGTGTATGTAGAAAAAAATTGCATTTATTGCACCTGAATCCACCCTGCTGAGACTAGCTTTGTAAGGTCTCAGTTCATTCTAAATAGCTCCTTATGCTCAATGGCAGAAAAGCTTTGGGCACAGAACATTTAGTAAACAGCTGAGGAAAAAGTATGGCTTTTAAACAACCCCCAACCCTCACAAATTATTTACTTTGAATTTTTTAGTAGTATACTCCTTTGATTATTGTTAAATAGCACCTTTATAACCAGCACTACTTTTAGATTTAGAAAAAAAAAATTAAGGTACTGGAAGCAGCACTCAGTTTTAACAGCTGAGATTTTCATCTTGGAGTACAGCCTCACAGACTTGAAGGGGTAGGCAGAGGAAACCCGCAGAGCTTTGAGTAGTACCTGTTGGGTTAGGTTTTAAGGCATTGCTACTAGGTTTTCATGCTCAAAAAACTTGCATTTCCAAGTAGTGAAATGTATGTGAATGAAATCTTCATCCAGAGGGGTTGTTAGCAATGGTAGTTTGTTAGTAAGTAGAATTTGAAGGACATAAGCTGTCCTGGTCAGGGCCTTCTTATTCTCTTGAAGTGGTGGTAGTCTAATACACAATGGGAAAGCCCTTTTCATCTCAGTCTCCATTTTCTTTATGAACCAAGGACAGCTCTAGTATAAATAATACTACTTTGAAATTTGTCGGAGTCTTGCCCATATGTATGAGGTCTGATTTTTGTGATCATAAAGATCTATATAACATTTTCAGAAATACAGGTTTGCAACCTCAGTTGCTCACAGGGAGAGGAAAAAAATATTGTGAAGGCAAAAACCCCACACAGGCCCAGGCCTTTGCAGCTTAGAAATAAACATCTGAAGTATGTGTTTGGTTTTAAATTTCCGAAATTGCTAACTTGAAATTAGCACTCCATGTAATTTAAAACAGATGTTGATATTACCAAAAAAAAATTTCTGCTGAAGCAGAATTTAGCGTCCAGAAAGGCAGTTAATATAACACTGACAAATACTCAGTGGGAACGATAATCTCAGAACCAGTTTGACCACCTGAGTAGGGTAACTGTAACGCTCCTCCTGATTCTTCCATCTCACCTTTTCGTGGTTTTGCTCAGAGCTCCACAAAGTAAGTTTCTCTCAGTTTGCTACAATTCTCCCCAGATGCAGTAAGTATCCCATTTTTCAGTGGTTTTTTTTCTTAAAAAAAAACCAAACCAAAAACACAAAACAGCATGTGCACAGAAAAGCAGAAGTCTTTTTTCACATTTATGCAAAACATCAGGTGCGTGTACATAAGTGGAAAGGTATGTGGGTGGGATCATGGCTTGCATTTGTAACTTGCAGACAAAATCATAAAAATGTGGGCCTAAGTGACTGTCTCAGAGTCAAATCCACAGCCTGTTTCTGGGGCAAAGTTAAATCTTTTTGGGGCAGAATGAGGTCTTTTTACTTCTTTTGCCTCAGCTGAATTTTGATTCGCACATCACTTTTATGCTGGCCTTGCTTCTTTTTTATTCATCACACTAGACAAAACTGTCATTGGAGATGCAGTTGAAAAGATATTGGACCAGGTCCATGCCTAGGTACACCTCAACTGTCAGTAAAGTGCTCCTGGTATAAGCAAGTCTCTACTAGACGGACACAGTCAAAATCTTTCCCAAGTCTAATGTGAATATTTTTCTTACTATAACCAGCTGTGGTCTACATGGTGGGCACAACTGAGGCAGCTGCATTGATCCGATGCATGAAAAAGTTATGTTTCCTGACCTGACAGTTAGACATAGCATCACCCTGAGTTGCATATCCTTTTCCTGCTTCCTGTATGGGACCTGTACTCTGAGATGTGTCACTTCAATGGTAGCAGGGTAGCTCAGCAAAAGAGATTTCATGCTTACAGATCATAGAAGTGTGAAACACTTCCCCCTCCCTCCCCCTTTCCAAAATTCTAAGAGTGAGATACATCACTGTCATCACATAGATGTATCTGACCAGGCAAAGGAGAACTCAGACCTTAGTCAATATGGAAGAATGTTTAATTAAGATAAAAGCTTTTAATAGGAGCCTTTGCTTTTAATCTTGTTACCTTTGCATATCCTTTGTGCTGTCATGTCCAGCATAATTATTACAAGTTGAGCAACAAAGTTCCTCCCTTCCCAGCCATTCCCACTCCCAGTTTTAGAGCCTTTTGGTTCTTTTCAAGGCAAGAGTAGGAGGAGAACAAAAAATTCTGAGACATTTTGATTTTGCTTTTGCCATAAGTCGCTCGGTATCTCTGGTTGTAACTTGTGTTGGACAAACCTCTTTACACAGTAGAAGTTTCTGTGTGCTGCCTGCTGCCAAACCTCAGGGCTGCAGGTGTGCCTGAAGAGTTGAAGGATGAGTGGATCTCTCTTTGAATGTGTTTTTTTTTTTTCATATTCTGTGGACTATAGCAGTAAAAAAAGACTGACCCAAACAGGAGACTCTGCATTAAAAACTGCTCTGAAAGAACCCTGGATAACTTGTCAAAGATATCAGTATTTATTTTCCAAGAGGCAGTGTGAAAGCACTAAACCTGCAGGTCATAAGCCAAGGACTGGGATTTCAGAACATTAGAAAAAAATTAGTAGTTTAAACGCCCTGTACATTTTACAGCAATTTAGTCCTGTCTTCCCTCTTTCCCAGCTAAAAAATATGCATTTCTATATGAAAAAGACCTTCAGCTGGTCAAAGAACAAACTAAGATTATCCTGGTAAAAGTACAGTTTAACTGGGGATAACATTAGTAAAACTTGGCAAAGCTGCTTTTCTCCATACCTGCCAAACTTCTTTCTGAGTACAGTTGTTCATTATTTCACCAAACTAAATAAAACATTGACCCTCAGGTAATCCCAGTGAGCAGAATTCCCCCGTGGTGTAATTGAGGCCAAAAAAAAGAGGACAAGTGAGCTGCACGAGTGCAACTCAGAGCTCTGTGCCTGCTGAGGGCGTCTGGGCAAGAACAGTGTTTGCTGAAACTCCTGGTAGGCTTAATGTTCAACAAACACAAAAGCCCTTGAGAGTTATCTCAGGGGCACAGTGGCATCATTTGTTTGCTGGATGTGAGATGTTAGAGGAAAAGGTGAAAGTTTCTGGACAGTTCAAGAAAGTAGAAGAGTACCTAATTAAATGGGTGTTAACAAAGATGCAATCGCTTTCCCTGGTGTTTTTATCTCAGTTTTGCCAGAGGTGGTGAAATCCTAAGTCTTGTACATGTTTGGTTTTTTACTCTCTCGTATTTATAACCTGTTGCCAGGCCTCTAGGTCTGTTCTGTGTTTAGATACTGTACAAAATGTCAGCTTGGTATAAAGGCCTTCAAATAGATTTAAATTTGAATTATTTTAGAAATTGTCAGGAGAATCATCTAGGTGATACCCAGGCAGTATCTTCATTCTGCAATAGAAAATTTTCTCCGTGCCTCATTTGTACAATTGCATCTTCTGTTTCTGCAGACTTCTAGTATATGTTACAAATTCTCTTCTCTCTCCTGTGTGAGTGTTTGGTCAGATACACTGTTGTCCTTTGAGTAACACCTTGGTCTGATCCCAGAGGGTTCTTTGTTTATAACTCTCTCCCCTCTTTCTGGGAGCATAACTTAAGGTAACTGTGAATGTTCAGGGCTTCTCAGAGTTGATCTTTCACTACAAACTGTTCTAGAGAACAGTAATGATCTCACAAAAATGACTCTGTTCAGTTGCATGTTTGATTAATTGCAAGGTTTTTGGCCCCCAGTTGGACATTTGGGTGTTTTCTTGCCAGCTTCAGCTCTGGTATAGATGGTATAGTTGCTGAGACTGGGCATCGTAGTCTTGAATGTGAGCATGTTACAATGAATAAAATGGTTCTTGCAGATGTGTTGATATTAAGAACTTTAGTTAAATTCTTCTGAGTTCTCCTTCTTTCAGTTTGCCAGTACCATATCTGTTTGGTTTTTTTCCTTCAGAATTAAAATAAACAATTGTTTGTTGTATTGGCTTTTTTATTTTCCAGTGAAAACCACTCAAGCCCCCCAAACCCCAGTATCTGTCTTTAGCTCCATTATGTATGTATGGTTTGGCTTGGAGATTAACCTCTTGAGGAGGGTTCAGTGTTAACTGACTCATTGCTTCTTCTTAAAGAAAGAAAGGAGGTGTATTATCAATACGCAAAATATGTCAGAATCTGCAAGTGCAATGTATACTTTGTTGGGTTTTTTTATTATTAAAGCTGACACCATTGTACTTCCTGTTTTAAAGCACAAATATTTAGTTAGTTTTGTGTTGTTTTTTACTGAGATTTCAACAAGACTTTCATCACTACTTAAGTTAGAAACAGAATTTCCTGAAGACAGAGTGTTTTTGTTTGGACTCTTCTCAAATTCAGATGTCCCTGATGGTTGAGCATGAAAGGGAAAAAATATCAGGCCACTAACAGTTACTGAATTTCTAAGGAGGTTACATTCTCAGTTTCTGCACTTTCCTGAGTTCCTCCAAACTGTGTTGAATTTGGTCGTTTGATGCTTGTGCCAGGTAGTAGCCTGGAGGAGAGCACTGGCTGTTTTATAGTGTCACAATTTGACACCAGTGTGTCAAAATGCCTGGTTGTTCTGAGGTCTGAGTATAAAACAAAGTAGAAAGAACTTGCAGGAAGTTTTTCATCAATGCTGTCAGTTCCCCCCTTCTTTCCTTTCCCCTGCCTTTTCTTCACATTCAGACTGCTGTTAGATTTTTCATATTAAAATACTGGGTTTTCCATATTTAACTTTTTTTGAATTTTAAGCTTGGTGGTATTGATTTTTCTCATCTCACATTTTCTGAATCTCTGGCAGAAGTCCTGGAGGGGATTTGGGAGCGAAGAAGAAGAAAAAGAAGCAGAAGAGAAAAAAGGAGAAGCCAAATTCTGGAGGCACCAAATCAGATTCTGCATCTGACTCCCAAGAGATAAAAATTCAACAGCCTTCAAAAGTGAGAGCGTGGTTCTGTTTTGATTTGTGCTTGCTTTCTGATTTAATTTTAATTTGTGTGTTGCTTTTTGCAAAACCGCATTGGTAGTTCCGCATTAACATGTCTGAATTAAGCAAATGATTACTGTCCTGAATAGGGACAGAAGCAAGGTGAGACCTGTTGTTTGCAGTCTATGAAGTTAACCGGAGAGTCATCGTCACCATCACAGTGGTGTACTGTGAGAAAAGCAGAGGAGGAGGTGTTTTGTCTTTCTTTTCCACCAGTTAGAACTTAAGCTAGTGACAGCTTTCTCACAGGAAATCTTAATCTGTAGTGGTGATGCTTTTAAACAGATTTAGTGTTTGATGAGTTGCCTTTAGTTTAGCCACCATCTAACTTGGCTTAGCGCAGTTCCAGTAACTTGTACAGCGTAATGCTATCTCAGGGTGAGAGCGTCAGCAGTAGGAGGGAAGGTGCACCTGCTGTGCTAACCAGAGTCTCTTTTGGGCAAACAAGCAGCATGTCATCTTACATAAAAAGCAGTAGTCTCTAACATGGAGATACAGGCTGAAGAAACTTTTTGCTGTGTGAAAGGCCTCTGCTGTAAATAAGAATGCAAAATTACATGAGGGGTTGTACAGTCTTTGTGGGCTTCGTGATAAAATAGCATTGTCTATATGCTTTTAAATATCATGTTATAAATGAGTGGTGAATAATATGACCTGGTGTTTTTTTTTTTAACATACAGTTTTTATCTTAAGAGAAATATGAGCCTGAGAACTGAAGTTTATAGCATGATCATAAGAAAGTTTATACACCATTGAGCATGTTGAAGTAGTTACATTTACTTTATCAGATTAATGTGGAGAAATTTACACCTTTGTAGCAGTAGTACTGTTCATCCTGTAAGATTTGTCAAATACATTGGGGCTACCAACTAATTTTAGGGAAAAAATTATATTCTGGCTCGTTAACTTACTGATAGATCTTGTGTTGTTCTTCTAGGTCTTCTCTGTGTCACCCCCATTGCTTTGAATGGGCACATTTGGCACAGGGGACACTTTAAAATATATAGAGAGATGTTAAGTACTTTCTGATCTCACCACATGTTTTGATATTGTGTTTCTATAAAGCACGTGGCATGAATTACTAATACAAGAAGACTGTTTGCAAGTGATAACCAGGTAACCTCAAAATCCTTTACAATTGGAGTGAAGTCAATTTTAATGTTAACATAAAGACATTAACAACAGTTCATTGATGCAGTATCCTCAGAGTTCCTTGGTTGTCTCCTGACCAAACTTATTGTTCCATACGTTGCCTCTAATTCCATTAAATGAGAGCTGCTTCACTTTCGTGGGCAAGGTTTTAGTCATCAGCACCTTGCAGTCTTGCACACCACTTCTCTGGCATGATGTGTTTTGCAAACGTGGAAGCTTATCCCTGTTCTAAGTTGTGTATTTAGAGTGGCACTCTTCATGATTATTTTAGTGTCACAAGAAGTTTAGCCAGTTTGTTACCTGTGTTACAAAATTTTCTCTTTTATTGGCATATAAAAGCTCTGTCTTGGACAACTTGCCTGGTTTAGATTTTTTGAAAGCATCTTAGACTGCTGATCTGGGACAGTGTGGAGAAGTATATTTACTTTCTCTGCTACTCAGGTGATATTTAGATTTTGTATTCCTTGTGCTGTGTGAAATACATTATAGAAAAAAGGCTTTAAGCATTTGCTTGCTCTTGGTTGAAAAGAGGTTTACAAAATATTTCGGAGGAAAGTGACGTTGTACACCTTGCCTCTATGAGAACATAAGTGGGATCATTAGGTAATACTCAGTGGGGCTTCTGAACTCATTGAAAATGATTTTGAAAAAAATATTTTGAGATCAGGTGGGTTTGTAAACAGGTGTACCAGTCTGGAGGTGAGAAGAACAGGACAGTGAGTCTCCTTGGCTTCACCCTTTCTTGTTTGTGATATTGGACTCTTTGAACATTGGTGTAAGTGTAATCACATCAATAAATGCTTGTTGGCATTGTATGCTTATGATGACCTTTAGGACACTTCACTGCCCATCTCGGAAGGCTTTGATCTCTCCCCATTACAAGTCCCAATGATGTAGACTGTCCACACTGACACAAATGAAGCTTGCCAGGTCTGCAATATTATCAGTCGTTATTGTAGTCACCAATGGCTTACACAACAATAGTCATAGAATAAGTTAGATTGGAAGGGACCTTTGGAAGTCTTTCGACCAACTTCCTGCTTAGAGCAGATCCAACTAGATCAGGTTGTTTGGTCACCCAAGGATGGAGACTCCACAACCTCTGTAAATAGAAAATGGTGGCCTGCTTGAGCTACAGACAGGGAGGTTTACTCCTTTCGTGTCTGAGGATACTAGAGGCAGACTCCCATCCAAATGAAGCTTTGCATCATTATTACATGTAATTTATGGTGGTTTTTCAGCACATGAATCCTCGAAAGAAAGTGAAATACTGAAACAGTGACCCATTGATATTCAGTAAAAAAAAACCCCATCTGGCATGAAATCTCTATACAGCGTTGCTTAAAATTTTCCAATCCATTTGAGACTATGCTTTCAAATGTATTTATTGTACTGCAGGCTGGGAAAACCTGAGCACAAGCATGCTGTTAGGATCCCTCAGAACAGGACTTACCACTTGGGATATAACAAAACAAAACAAATAAAGGATATTAAAAAAGAGAGAAAAATCCCTTTAGATTTAGAAGTCCGTTACCATTATTCTTCTCTACTTTCCTATGAAGGTAAAATTCTCATTCCAGTTACACTTACTCAGTGATCAAAAGTGAGGATTTAAGAGCTCCATTTAGAAATACTTAGCCTTAGGTTTTGTGCTTTTCAAATAACTTTCCTCTAGAGATTTTTCAACTTTCAAGTGGAAAGATGGTTTATGACTGTCTGCTTCTGTAAGTTAAGATTATCTTTAGTTGTGAGTGTTGGTGCTAGTGGCAAGATGGCTAACTCCCACATATGGTACAATGCAGTAGGTACCTACTGTAACAATGGAAAGCTAATAGAAGGCAGATACAATATAACTAAGGTTAAAAAGTGGATATTTGTAGCAATAGTGTACCTGAAATACTGAACCATAGTGAATTTAAATATTATCGTATGTGTAAAGTACAACTTTAAACATCTCTGTGTGTACCAATGTCATCTTTAGATTGTTAGATATCTAAGCTGATGTGCTTTTTCCTCTTTTATTGTACTTTACTGAAGAGGGGGCAGGGGAATATAAGAAGCTTTTTGTTGTGATACTGCTACCCAACCTTAATGGTGAATTAAAAATGCTGACTTTTCATGGTTAAATGCGAGCGCTACTCAAAACTATTAAGTATTTTATGAAGCTGCTTGTCTATTGCCCACCTAACTTTCTACCTTCCTGCCTCTGAAGGTTTTACCTAAACTAACCATGATGAGAAGAATACATGAAAGAATAGGTAACAGTAAAATGAACATGTTTGCACAACTTGTTCAAAGTAAACATACTCAATAAGCTTCCTCTTCCCTTTGTCTCTGTGTGCAGAATCCCGCCATTCCAATGCAGAAGCTTCAAGACATCCAGAGAGCCATGGAGCTGCTCTCTGCATGCCAAAGCCCAGCAAAGAATATTGATGAGGCTACCAAACGTAAATACCAGTTTTGGGATACGCAACCTGTACCTAAGCTTAGTAAGTTTAACTGGACCTGGGCATAAGATCTGTTTTACTGACACTAAAAGAATGTGTGCCAGCTGTGTGGCATGTTCTTTAAAACGGGTATGAAGTTGATCTGAGTGCAGTTGAGATCCTTAATCTTCTGTGTTGTTTATGGGGAATTCTTGATGTTCACTGGGAAAGGGTCGTCGTCTGTCCCATCCCCCCCAAAATGATACACAACAAAATACTGTTTTAGTAAATCTCATTCTGATGTTCTCTATAGAAATGGGAAATGCTATTGAAATAGCATTCCTTTGTATGCTCTAGGTCTGAACTCTTGAACAACAGAACGTAGGAGTGTTTTCCACTTCAGGGAAAATAAGAACTCTTAACTGGTGACAAAGAGTAAACTTTTCTTTTATTTATTTATTTACCCTTAATTTCTTTGTCAATAGCTAGATTTGCTATCACAGAGATAATGACTCTCCTGCTGTAAGTTACACTGTTCTCATGCAGCCTTAGGTGGATAATGGCACTTCTTGCATGCATGAACACTTTTGCTGCTGCGTGTTCACCTGCTTCTTCCACGATATACACTACCTTGATGACATGCTTTCTCAGGGTCCATTCTCTGTTCTTGGCACCAAGTGAGATAGTGAGGCGACCTCTCCTTGCCTTTGATTTTTTTCCTTTGTAAGGAATCTGGCAGATTACTTTTTATAGTGATCTGATCCCTGATAACACGGTTGGTAAATCTTAGTCTTTGTTGGAGAAGATAGTTGCTGACTTGCTTTTTCTGAGTTGCTTTCTGCACCTTCTTCCTCCCCCTTCATTATCTTAAAGTTAAGCAGTAGTAGCTGTTCAGGTGCCAATGAAACTTGGGGACCCCATGAGTAAAGCAGTCTCAGCGCAACACTGTTCTTTTCTGCAGGTTTCTCTCCATGGCATTGGAGACTGGTGTACAATAAGCAGAAATAAGGTAGAGTCTAAAGCACAGGAGCATTCTGCGCTCTTTCTCTGCAGGGCAGCATTTCACATTAGTCCATTTCTATAGCTTAATACACAGTGATCTCATTTCTCCCTGACTCTGAATTACTTGCATAGAGAAGTCCAGAGCAGAGTCACAGAATCACAGAATGTTAGAGATTGGAAGGGACCTCGAAAGATCATCTAGTCCAATCCCCCTGCCGGAGCAAGAACACCTAGATCAGAGCACACAGGAACGCATCTAGGCGGGCTTTGAATGTCTCCAGAGAAGGATCCTCCACAACCTCTCTGGGCGGCCTGTTCCAGTGCTCTGTCACCCTCACCGTGAAGAAGTTTTTTCTCATATTCAAGTGGAACCTCCTATGTTCCCTGGATGCAGTATTTTCCACGGGATGGAACTGACCTGCCCTGGCTCTTCTCCATGCAAACTCCATTCAGATACCTCTGTAAACTAATGGTAGTAATTGTCACAGTAATCCTGCCTAGGTGGAGGAAGAGCCTAGCCAAATCAATTTGATGCGTAAACCAGAAAATACTCTGGCCGTTAACAAAGCTTTTTCAGAGCTAGTTCAGGTGTCTGCAGAACAGTTCCAGGAGTTCAGTTCAGGTTAGTCAATATATCTTACAGCACTAAAGATGAGTGTCTGTTACTTAGCAGCCTAAAACGACCAGTAGATTGGCTCTAAAAAGGATTGTCTCTAAAAAGCAGAAATATGCTTTGTTGAATTTTTCTGGCAGAGGTTTCGTTCAACAGTGTTTGTGAATTGCTTCTTTCTCCTTTATCTGTGGAATGAACATATTGGGAAGTCTTCACTATTTGATATGCTGGATGTTTTTAGATGGAAAAAAATAATCTCTTGATTCAAGTAATAGCTGTAAGGATCTTTGCGTTAAATTAACGTCAGAATCCTTCTACCATCTAGTTAAGGTTGTTAGCAATAGATCCTTTAGTTAGGCCAAGTCTGCCATATGTAGTAGAAGTAACATGTAGACTGTTGATACTTTCCAGAGTTTGTGTAAAGATGCTGGTAACGATGACCTTCCAAAGCGGAAGGCCATAACTATTTGTCAGGATTGCACATCATTTGGAAAAAGTTCATACTACAAAGGAATGTTTGGCAGGTGCTGCTCCATAGAAGAACAGCTTCTGTTTATAGCTATATACTGAGGGACCAGAGTTGTAAAGTCGTGGAGGAGGAGGTGGCATGCTTTCATGTAGGATGTTAGGAACAAATTTCACATGTCACCAGAATCCCTTAAAAGCCCTGGCTTTGCCATGCCAGTGCTCCTGAGTAATCCTGTTGACTTCAGGTTTGTTCAAGTCTGTAATAAACAGGATCTGAGCCACAGCTTGTTAGCTCTGAGTATGTGTTTCTGATGATGAGACCATGGATCTTGTGGCAGGCTAAATGCTGTACATGTGCTGATAAATTGCTGTCCTGTGTTACAAAATACTGGGTGTCAGTTGAGCAGAGTAGTTCTGTGCATACTTATAGATATTCTGATGAGGTGTAATCTGGGAGAATGAGAAGTCGTATAAACTAATACTATTTTTTTCAGCATTTTAAAAAAGCTTTATGTTCCTGTCACATAATTATGAGAAAATACATGATGTGAGTTAAATACAATTTTGAGAGCTATCAGGAAAGCTAGCAATGTAACTGTTGGTTTTTTTCTTTCTTTGTTTTCCTCCTTCTTCCTCAAAAGATGAAGTTATAACTTCACATGGTGCAATTGAACCAGATAAGGACAATGTTCGCCTAGAGCCGTATTCTTTGCCACAGGGTTTTATGTGGGACACATTGGATCTCAGCAATGCTGAAGTTGTAAGTAAAACAAGTTTTCTATGTACCTAAAATCATTTATGTTTATTCTGATTGATGTGCATGGATAAATCTTTGGATTTTTTTGTGTGTGTTTTCAGCTGAAGGAGTTATACACACTGTTAAATGAGAATTATGTAGAAGATGATGATAATATGTTTAGGTTTGATTATTCACCTGAATTTCTTCTGTGGTGAGTAGCAAGTTCCACATTCTGCTCTGACTGGAGTGCATAGAAGGGTGTTTTTATTACATCTTCTTAGGCAGTAATTTGTAATTATTTCTGTCGTCAATTCTAGGGCGCTACGTCCTCCAGGCTGGTTACCCCAATGGCACTGTGGGGTTAGAGTGTCTTCAAACAAAAAATTGGTAGGATTCATAAGTGCCATCCCTGCAAATATTCGTGTTTATGACAGGTAAAATGCACCATTACTTTTGTATTTGTAAAATACTAACACTATGAAACAAATCTTAAACTGGTATCCATTTCCATGGAGAGCTTAGAAAAGGAGGCTCACTGACCAGAAAGAGTCAGAAGAACCCTGTGTATGTAGGAAAGACTATTTTTTTTTAACTCTTACCCCTCTTGCCTCCCCAAAGCTTGTGGGCTCCTTACAATGATGACCAGTACTACATATTTAAGGGATTTTCTTATTGATGGGTGATACAGATAATGACATAGAATTTTCTGACCCTACTGGAAAGTATTTAAAGGGTAGTCAGTCAGCTGGTCTTCCTTAGCCACGTCTTTGTACACTGACAATCAAAAAGTATTATGATACCCTGTAGCATATGCTTGGATGCCATTCTGCATCTTAAAGTAAGGCAATTGGTTAAGTCTCGATAGAGCTCTGAAAAATAAGTGTTGCAAAAACCTTAGGCACAGCTTGCATTCTGCACGCTTTGCCGTTGTAGTCACAGTGTCATAGGTTGGTATTTGTTGTAGATATGCTTTGTCACAGACCAATTTATTTTTACTTCAAATTCTGTCACAACATGGAAAACTACAATTATGCAAATGAAAATATGCAATCTGCAACTCTTTTTAACTTTTCCACTGTTTAATGTCCTTTTAGTGTGAAGAAAATGGTAGAAATCAATTTTCTATGTGTCCATAAGAAACTGAGATCCAAACGGGTAGCACCTGTACTAATTCGGGAAATAACCAGAAGAGTAAACCTGGAAGGAATTTTTCAGGCTGTTTACACTGCTGGAGTGGTACTCCCCAAACCTGTGGCCACTTGCAGGTAACCTAGGTGATGTTCATAATAGCAGTCCTATAGCAGTCATTTTAAAGAACATTTAATGTAGTTGGCTAGAAACAGTAAAAGCATAGAATTCAAATAAATTTAATGTGGCCCTGACTAACCCAAAAGCCTGAGTGTTTGACAGGGTGATTTTCTTGGTTTCTTTCTTTCTTTCCTCTTCCCACCCCACACCCACCCACACCTCCCCGCCTTTCTCTCGCAGTGCCTCGACTAAAACAGCTTCTCAGACCAAAATCTGATTTGGGGTTTGTTTATCATACCTCAAATAGACTCATAGATGTTTCTGTTGACCTTCTGATGGAAGCCATGCTAGCAATGACAACATTGTATACCTGTGTTTTTCAAGTCGCCTTTTTCCCTGCTGGGACACTTCCCTGTTGACCTGGTTGCTTGCCAAAGATGGCAGAGCATTTCTGGAAATTGTGTGATTTCCTTTTTTGAAATACTTTCATCTTTCCTGGAGAAAGGAGAACTCAGTGTCTGATAAAGATGGGAAAACTATTATGTGAGAGGAGTTGTATGTAATCAAATATAATTTTGTTTGCTTGAAATGGATTTTATTTCTACTGGGAAAAGTTCAGTTCCAGCATTATTAGTTCAGCTGTCTCTCCTTCTGGAGGACAGGGTACTTTTCGATTTGAGATTGTGTTTGTGCTTACCAACACCAAAGATCCTGTAAGTTTCTGTAAGGAAAGCTGGGAAAAAAAAAAAAAAAGCCATGCTATATTAGAGTAACCAGGGATGCGGGATGTTCTGTTGCCCAGTGATCTCCTAGGAAGAGGAGATCTCCTTCAACAAACGACTTAGACGTGAGCAGAGGGTCCTGTCTGTACACGAACATAAATGTTACCACATAAGTATGGTGAGATTGTCAGGGCTGTGGTGAGCACTAAAATGTTTAGCCCTGTGATTACTCATTCTGTAATAAAAAGTGTTTGCTTAGATCCAAAATACAGTGATTGCAGGCCTGTTTAAAAGCTATTGCTTGGATATAGCTTTTTTTAAATCTTCTGTTCCTCAAGCCTCTTACAGACATAGTACAGGCTTGCTTAGGAACAAATTTGGAGAGAAGGAGCAATGTGGGAAAGTAGGGAAATGGATGCAAGTAAAGCTGACATTTAAAGTGTTGTTTAATCTCATTATTAATTTAATTTCCAGGTATTGGCATCGTTCACTGAATCCCAGAAAACTGGTGGAGGTGAAGTTTTCACACTTGAGTAGAAACATGACTCTACAAAGAACAATGAAGCTCTACAGACTTCCTGATGTAAGCAGTGTGACTTCTAGAGAATCCCCACAGTTACTGTGAGGTCCAAAATAACCTTCCATCTGTCTCTGACAGCACAGGCTTTTATATGGAAAGACAGTGTGTGCAGGACTTAAAAAAAAATCTCTGGTTAATGAAAAAGACCTCAAGAGCTATACTAAACAGGAGAGACTATTGCTGGAAATGTAGATCTGTGTATGGAGAAAGTAGAAATTTTGACCTAAAAGCCTTAAACAAACAAAGGAAAAAACAGAAACCTTGACTACATAAACATGTGGGATTGAGTTGAAGATGCATAAGACTGTTCTTGGTATGATTAGTCTGATAAAAGATTACTGTAACAAAAAATTAACAGTTCATGTCTTAAAATTCTCAGAGAAGTCCATCAGAAATTTGACTGAGTACAGTGAGATTGTTGATTCCACTCTAATTCACAGCTTTTTCTGTTCTGTCAGAGGATGTTGTTCTTCTGCAATAAGCAGGCTCAGCAAAAGCCACCTCAGTATGTTGTGTACTGTTTATTTGCATGGTCTGGCAAAAAAAAAAAAAAAAAAAGTTTTCTGGCATTAGTTAGTTAAAATAATTTTTTCTCATGTTTGCAGCTAATAGTTAGGCTGGGAAAAAGCCTTAGGATGCATTTCCATGACAGGGCAAGTCACTGTAAGTAGTCTGAGATTGTACTATTAAAAAAATCTCATTGCTACAATCAATAGCCTGTGGAAGCTAGTCTAAGCTTTAGGATTGAAAACAAATTTTTTTGCTTGTAAAAGCTACCTATTTATTTGGAGGGATTGCAGAATATCCTTTACCTGTACCGTATCAGTAAACCTTTTTTTATTTAAACAAACCTTCCCTCTTGGCTAAAAAAAAGTACTTTTTTTCCTCACTCTTAGTACTTTGTAGGGATTTATCTGTCTTTGGAGAATGGTGTCTGTTGGTTTTATTTGGCTTGATGCTGCAGGCTCTCCTACTACTTAGATATTTGAGTAATACACTGAGCACTCCTCGATATAAAGCATATGCCAGGGCTTGATCTGAACTCCTGCTGCTGTCAGAGAGACTCATTTCCTGTGCTGCCTGCATGCTACCCGTGCCTGCATACACAGGTTCTCCCTTGCGTGCAGGGCAGCAGTTTTCAGAGTTTAAGAATTAATAGCCAAATTAATTAGGTTTTAATCTTGAAGAGCTAAATATAGCTTTCATCAAATCTTGAAGACATTTCTTATAGTCTAAAGAATAGACAATTTCAGACACAGGTTTTGGTGGCAACTTTAGTACTTTTTCTCATGGAAACAATACAGGAAAAGAATAGTTTCAAGCATAAGGATCTTACAGTACAAAAAGTGTAACTACAGAGAATCACTAGAAACAACAGCAGTTGTACCTTGATCATCTTCCTTTATCATAAAACCTAGATTTGAACTGAAAACAAAATTATGGGAAAAAAAGTATACATCATATCTCATTCATAAGATATAGCTAAGGCAAACATACTGTATAAAGATAGGAAAATAGAAAATAGGTGCTTTGAAAATCAACTTTTAAAACTGAGTGATGTAGGAGTCCATATGCCTCAGCTGTTTGTTTCTTTTCAGATTGGACTTGGGAGCTTCTCCCATGGAAAATAAAGATTTAATCTTTGTGCTAATGTTTTCTCTTTAGATCTTGTGCTTTGGGGTTTTTTGGATTTTTTTTCCTAAGAAAGGTTTTAAGTGCTGTTGAGGATCTTTATCCTCAGTTTCAGACTGTTATCATAAACAGTGCTGTCACACAGATTGGTTCATTCAGCCCACACTGTCCGGTCCCTCAGCACCAAACACTGTTTCTTGCATTGTAACCTCTCTTCTGAGAGTCCTTGGAATATCATTGCCACTGGGAGCTCATCTCCATCTAAGAGGAATTAATCATTCCTAATCACTTGAACAGTCTGAATTTAAAAGGTTTTCAGAGATAATACTGTAAAATAAATACCACCCTCACTGAAGGCTGCATTTGTACATGTACCTATAGATACAGTTTTCTGAGAGAGGTAAATTTTGGCTGTGTTTAGAATAAGGACAAGAGCATGTTTGTCTCTGTATGTCTTTTCCTGACTGATTGAGATCCTGAACCAGGATATTCACATTAATATATACCTAGTGCAGCTTGATGTGTGGAGCAGAGAAACAAATTTTGGCCCGGTTCTGTACACTTTCCCTCACTTCTGGGTTCCAGGTAATCATTTACTGGTGGCCATTCTGAGTCTTTCTGGGGGATAAAGATGTACCAGCCCAGCTGCTTTTCCTCCCATCCTGCTCCAGTGTATGGCTTTAAAAGAGGGATGAAGGCTTGGAGGGAGCAGAAATTAACCTTTCATATTGTAGTTCGTAGGAGGTTATGAATGAAATACAGCATAGGAAGTGTCATGTTGATTGGTCAGGTGAATACCCTTTATAGATTCAGGGCATTTTAAAATCTAGATGAAATGCTCTTGTGGAGGAAAACCCTAATCCCAGGCTGCTCAGGAAAGCAGGAAGACTAATACATAGGCCAGAGCTGCGGCAAAATGTGCCTTGATTTTTTTCATCTGACCGCTGACTCCCAAGTATGTGAATACCTCCCCCAGAACAACCTCTTTTGAGCACAGCATGATCAGCTACACTAATTTCAGGCTTCCAGTAATCAAGTCGCCACCTGGCTGCTCTTGCAATTGACTTTGCTATGATTAATGTGATGCATGCCCAAGTATGTAGCTCAGACAGATGAAGCAGGATAAATAAGCTCTGAAGAGAACAAGCCTTAGCCTCCCTAAAAGGAAGTATTCAGGAGGGTTAAAAAAGGCTGGGGAGAAAACTTTAAAACACCATTGCTTGTTTAAGCATTAATTGCATAGTACTGGAAAGCATTTTTTTTCATCTTCTGACATTTAAAGTCAATTAAATAACTTGATTTATTAAAATACTGTAGCTTTTTAATTTCAGGCAGCTGTAAGTTATGCGAAGCTTTCTTGTTAACGGAGCAGAAGTTGTGCCTGTATACAAAGTTGAGTTAGCAAGGGAGTTTGCAAGTGTTAAGAATTGGTGGAATTTTTTTGTTAAATAATTCCTAATTAAACTTCATCCACTGAATTTGGTTTATAGCTTGACTGTAATATTCATAAGTTTGAACTGCAGGTGTTTCTTGTCTTCAGATTAACTTCTGTTGCTTTAACTTCAAGTTGCTTTGTGTTTTGTTTTTGTGTCTGGGCCCTAGGTAGTTTAGAAGAAGATAAGAAATAAAGACTGACGTAAAAAAAATAGTACAAAATGCGTGAAGTTTAGGTTTTTGGCAATGGTAGCTCTTTCTCTGGAGGCATGAAATTGTTTTCAATAAGAGAATATAAAGATTGAAGTGCCCCAGACTGTCTCAATAATTAGAAGAGAGGGAATTCTGATTGGAAGCTGTTTGTGAAATAGCATAATGAACTAGGTGGCTGGGGTAAAGTAGGCTAATAAGGCATGCGTTATAGCAAGTTGAGTAACTCTGCAACCTCCTTTCAGCCTTTGCTGTGTATGCAGTTTTCGACATCTTAACATTTGGTTTTTTTTTGTTATAATCAGGCCACAAAGACTTCAGGTTTGAGACCAATGGAAGAAAAAGATACTAAAGCAGTACAAGAATTAATCAACACTTACTTGAAACAGTTTAATCTTGCTCCTGTGATGGATGAAGAAGAGGTAGCCCACTGGTTCCTGCCTCGGGATCATATTATTGACACTTACGTAGTAGAGGTAAAACATGCCCTAACTACTTCATGAATGTATATGTGAATGCCACTTCCAAAAGTTCATGTCAGCATCAAGTTTTTGAAATACAGACAGTATGAAAACTGTGTGCGATAGGTAGAATTTGATACTGTGATTCCAGGCTTTGTTCTTGGTATTGCATTCTGTTAATGAGAAAATGTTTGGTTCTGATAAACTGCAGTGCTCTTATAACAGCATATTTTAAGGACAAATTTTGAAATCTCAAAGTATCACTGTCTTCGAAATACTACAGCAAAGAACCGTATATTTTAAAAACAGCCTTTCCACCTGTATTCTTCTATTTTTTTTCCATAGAGATGTGACATGATAATAAGCAGTGGTCTTCACATCTCCTTTTCTAGAAAAAAGGAAAAATTATACAACGACTGAGAGAAGGAATTAGTTTTAATTCAGTATCGTTCTCTCAAGTGTCTAAGTTTCTGACATACACCAGTTCAAAATTGTATTTTTAAAACCGAATTTAGGGGCACCTGCTGAGGGAATTCTATTTTTTGATGGTCTGCTTCAGTAAAATAATTTTTTTCCCGTAAAAGAGTGTGTGTGTATCTATATCTGTATATGCATATGTAAAAGAGAGAAGTAAAAGTTAACATCCCTTGATGCTGCCATGAGTTGCTGTCAGTTAGGAGTTCAATTATCTTGAAAAATATAATTTTTGTCCGCTAACAAGATGGAGGGCATAATCTTTTCTTACCGCTTACTCTTTCCTCCCCAGTCTACCATCTGTATTCTCCATCCTTTTGGTCACACGCTTCTCGCAAAATAAGCCGTGCGGGAAACAGGTTAGCATTTTGTTTGGAAATCTCCAAGGTTTGGCTGGAATAACTGCAATAAAATTAGTGGAGAAAGAAAAGTCCATGTAGGCATCCTATTTAGATAGTGTATTACTTTGTTTAAAGTGTTAAGGTTATTTGAAAATGATTGGCACTAACATTCTTAAACCTACCAGCTCCTCACAGAAGCTGCAGGTTGTGAAGGTCAGTGTTCCCACACTGCAGCCTGAATGTGTGCAGGAGTCTCAGCTGCATTTAGAAACTTAATGCTGCTGGAGGTGAGAGGTCCTGCTCATCTGTTGTCGTTGTCCACGCTTAGCTTCCTAGTTACTTCACAGTGGGTCTAGTGCTCATTGGACTCTGCCATGAGCTCCTGCCTGCCCCAGGTTGGTTTTTGGCTGCTTTAGTGAGTTGAAGCATACAGAAGAGTCCACAAGCACCAGGATCAGCATGAGGGTGCCATTCACAGTGCCATTTTAACTGAACAGCACAGTCTTCACTTGCATGTTTACACTGTCTCTTGAACTAGTTTTTCACTGAACAAAATGTAGGTTTGTTAGTGCTTAAAATCTTCAAGATCTGTGTGACCTGGAGAAGGTAGTGTCAGATTTTTAAGTCATCTTGGTAATGTGCAGAGATAAAGCCTTAAAATATTCTGTGTAATTCTTGAATTAATATTTTCATCATCCTTACTGAATTTAGTGAGTGATTTACTTGATAACTTTTCTGTGGTTTGTTGTTAATCTCTACTACAGAATCTGTACCTGCTCTAAGACAATAGCTTTCTTCATGTAATGGGTTCAACTCCTTTACTTTTTACTGTAGAAGTACTCTCAGTTTAAGGATCCATGCGAGGTCCTTCATTGAGCTTGAAATAGTGGGCACCAGTCATTCAAAAATAAAGCAAACAACCAAGAACAAGTGTTTGTGTGTCTCCTTTGCCTTATGTTCTTTGAGATATCAGGAGACCAAGTTGGAATAGGAGGAGTGAAAATCTGAGTAGTTCTTTTTCTGCTCAGCCTGTCAGTCATAACACATATAATAATTATTTCCCATTTCCTACTAATCTACAGTCTTGAAGATGGTTAAACTTCATTAGGTGTGTGAAATATGGAGAAAGTTTACGCAGGATACTTTAGATTTCTGTAGAAGTACCTTTTTTGATGACTACTGATCTTATTAGAATTTAACACTGTTGTCTGGCAAATGGATTGTGCTTCTTGATTAATAATCCCTAGAGCTGATTTAAATATGCTGTGTATACCAGCACAGTATATTGTTTTCTGTTTTTAGAAAGTTGAGAAAATCATTCCTCAATGTGAACTTCATCAGATTTTTAAAATCTTCTTTTAAAAATAAGTTCAATGGGAAAAAAAATTCTATACTTTTTTTGGAAGTGTGCTTTGTTAGCTTTGTTTGGCAATTGGTTGTCAAAATGTTATTGGTGTAATAGACTAGAAAAACCTAAATGTTTGTTTCCTGTCTGAAGTGACCTCGCTTTGTCTCTCTTTGATGTATAGATACATCCTTGGCAAGAATTCACTTTCTCCAAATCTTAGCCAAGATTACTTGTTATACCATAATACTTAAAGTGGCAAAACTGTGCTGCATTTATTACTTACTTTCTGTAGAACTGCCGTGTTAGCCTAACCAATAACTGAGCATTTACTTCTTATTACTTTTTTCTTTGTAGGGCTCAAATGGTATTTTAACAGACTTCTTGAGTTTCTACACATTACCTTCAACAGTGATGCACCATCCTGTTCATAAAAGCCTCAAAGCTGCCTATTCCTTTTACAATATTCATACAGAGACCCCCCTCTTGGACTTAATGAATGATGCACTCATTATAGCTAAATTGGTAAGTTGGGGGGTTGGGGGGTTTCTGCTTCTTTCACAAAAGTATTCTTAGGAATGGTGTCAAGGTAAGAACTGGCAGCAATTGATCCATGCCATTGGATGCTGTTTTCTTTTACTGTCTACAGCACAGGGTGCAGCTGATGAGACATATACTAGATAGATAGATAGATATAAAATAAAAAACACTATGCTGATTTTTCCTTTTTGCTTTGAGTGATGCTAGGAAACAACAAATGCATGAAGATTAAGTGTTTGCAATAGCTTGAACTGTGTAAACATCCAAGAGCACACTGATGACCATATGCCCTAAGTCATTGAAGAATGGAAAGTATCACTAAAATAGTTTCCCTTGGAGATGTGTTAATAAGTTCTATTAAATACATTTTGTTTGTTTAAACTATTTTTTATTTCTACAAAATGTAAAAGTTTATTTGTGCAAGCTTTATCATTTTATCTTGTTACTAATTGCTGCCCATAAAGCTGTGTAGATGATGTCCTGTTGTAGCTTTTAAGCACGCCTTCATCCATGGAATTACACTGATAGACGGTTTGGTTGAATGGAAGGGAAGAAACTACAAGTGAAGTTTTTAAACATAAGAATTGTAAGAGTTTAGTGCTGTCTGATGAAAAACTAATGCTCAGCCCTTAATCATCAGGGTTTCATGGGAGTGCAGTGCAAACAGCAGTACCAGTGTAGTCTGTGGTATGGAGGTGCACATCCCAGCACTCTGACTAGCCAGGCCTGTCTAGCCCTGATACTTCACAGCCCAGCACAGCCTTCATCCAGTCCACAGTATCCATTCTAGCAACCACTCCCAACATGCTGCAAAGCATAGGCATGTTTTCTGCTCCTCAGGCTTGAAGCTCGCTCCCCTCCCAGCTGAAGTGTTGCTGACGCACTGCTTGTGGTGTTACACCTACCAGATGGGTGCTCAATGCAAGCACATGCTAGCTGTGCTCCAGGCAACCGTGTTCAGAGCCATCTGCACTGCGTGGGGCACAGGGGTTTCTGTGTTCATCCTGTGTGAAGCCAGTGATGGTCTGCAAAGGCTGTATCTGTTCAGACTTCAGGCTGCATGAAAGCAGACACATAGTCTTCAACTTGTCTGTCTCAGCCATGTTCGTGCAGCACTGCAGCTGAGCTGATGTCTGTGATGTGAGTTGCTTGCTGAAGCTTGCTGACATACAAACGGTATTGAGTTGAATAACTGTTTGGCAAGGAGAACTCCTGGATAATCATGGATAAAATAGAACTCCATTACTCAGGCTGTATTGAATAATACAGAAGGAAGTTCAGAGGCAGACTTTGACAGGTATTAAGATATATGAAGATACAGGAAAGCAGCAAGTATAATTTTCAGAAGTGTCTAAAAATAGTAGCATTACTTAAAAGTCAAAGTGAAAAAAGGAATAAATGTTGGTCTCCATTTGAATGGCTGGCCGTGGATGGAACGGGTCAGGAAGCAGTTATGTGATCTAATCACAAGGCTTTGCACCTTCCCCTGTCTACATTTCTCTCAGAGTGTGACATGTGATTCTTTTCTTTTAAATGGATCATCATATAGAGTACTGGGATTTAGATGCCTGTGGATTTCCAGAGTACCTGCTGGGCCTGTCTGCATCATTAGATGCCTAATTACATTTGCAGATCTGGCACCTGGACTTTTAGTTGAGGATAGGTAAGGAAAGGGAAGAGAAATTATAAATGCACTCCTGGTCACATCTTTTTGTTTACAAATGTACTGGGTCTGGCTGGGCTGGAGTGAACTTTCTTCCTAGCAGCCCATGTAGTGCTGCACTTTGTATTTGTGACTAAAACAGGGCTGGTAACACACGAGTGTTTTGGCTGTTGCAGAACAGTGCTTGCACAGCCTCTAGGCTTCCTCTCCTTCACTCCCAGCGAACAGGCTGAGGGTGGGCAAGAAATTGGGAGGTGACACAGCCAGGACAGCTGACCCCAGCTGACCAAAGGGATATTCCACACCAAATGATGTTGTGCTCTGCAATAAAGGCTGAAGGAAAGTGAGGCGGGGGGTTCCTGGCGATAACATTTGTCTTCCCAAGCAGCCATTATGCGTGCCAAGATCCTGCTTTCCATGAAGTGGCTTGACATCTGCCTGATGATGGGAAGTAGCAAGTTAATTTACCTTGTTGCTTTCCTTGTGCATGCAGCTTTTGCTTTCTCTACTAAATTGTCATTATTTTAATTCGCAAGTTGTCATGCGTTGCTTCCATTTTCTCCCCATCCTGTGGTAGAGAAGCGAGCAAAAGGCTGGGTGGATGTTTGGCTCCTGGCTCTGGACAACCCACCATAGTCCCTTCTATACTTCTACTCCCAAATAATGCATTTTGGAGGTACAAATTCAACTCCGCAAATTGCTTTCAAGATTTGCATGTCAGTTTAATGTTGTTTTTTATCTTCATATTACACTATGTTATATATCTTCATATTACACCATACTGTCGCTGCCCATGTCAGGGGGCTTGAAACTTTATGATCTTTAAGGTCCTTTCCAACCCTAACCATTCTATGATTGTATGATTCTATATAAAATTAGCTTAGAACTCAGTCTAGTAAAATCTTGGCAATTATAGGACAAAATGCCTGACCTCCAAAGCAAAACCCTAAATTTGGAGTTATGCACTAGTAGGTTCCATGTATTCTGCATGG